TTCTCCCTTTCGTCTCTGTCGCATCTTAATTCATCACGTATTTTATATAACTTTCTCGCTCTTCAACTTGACTTCATTTTCGTCTAATTTTCGCCGTCCTTCAAGGACCCTGACCTTGCGCCCTCAAGGCCACTCCCTTCCTTCCATCAACCCCGAATCCATCTCGGATATGAAGATGGGGCTCCCCCCCCCAAAAAAAAACCGCCGCAACTCCGACATTCGGAAGGATATGGGATTTGTAAATTTTTTGTTTGTCCCTTGAAAGAAAAAAAAACGCTCCTCCGTCGCTTGGCAATCAAATTGCATTCTGCTAATGTAAACTTCCACCTTTCCAGCACTCTGCCTTTAAATGGAGTAGTAAAATTTAGTCGATTTTTCATGATTTTTTCCTTTCGACGTCTCATTACCTCAATCAATGCGGAATCGAGGCAGGTCTATGTATTAATAATATTAAATATATGCAGTTCTTACTCTCATGGTTATGAGGGCAAATGCAGTTTATTACGCAGCGTTCCATTCACAATCGACAGGACACCATTGCCTCAATTATGTCAAGGAGCGTGGTGAAAAATTTACGACCTAAAAGAAGCAAAAAGGAAGGGCGAATAGTTGAACTTCAGAGAGAGAATGGAAGGAAGGAGGCGGATGGCATGGACCGAGTCTCGACGGGGAGGTTCCGAGAAATTCTCCGTCGGGATGAGGATCATCTGCTACCTGAGTACTTTCAGTGGTGGATTCAAGTTTGCCAACATCGGTGGCGACAAGCGCTTGGAATTCCGGAATTTGTCTGAACTGCCAATTGCCCATTGGTCTATTTGAGGGCACCGTGGATGCAAACCGATTCTCGGATCCCGACGCGAAGACCAACAACTTTCGATTTCAGTTCAACGAGATCCTCAGTCACGATCGCCTTTGGACGTCTCTGGACATATTCATAATGCCGTGAGATAGTCCTTGCTGAAAGCGTGGATTTACTCTCGGATAGTCCGCTTTCAGCAGCATTTTAGTCAATTGGTGAGTAGGTTTGAAGATGAAGATCTCATAAATGGTCTTTATTTTCCATATTATTGTAGATTCGAGTGGTACAGATAAACTCCGAGGAATGATTTGAGCAACGGAATAGCCTGAAACCACTGGCAAAGGTCGGTTTCTGGTCGAACAAAGGACAAACCATAAATTCAGAGGCGTGCATCGCTCCCTTGAAGAAACTCAAAAGCCGGTTGCAGCGAGTCCCACCCGAAAAGGCATGGAAAATGTCCTACGAGACAAAGCAAGGGAAGCAATCTCAAAACTGGGCTGCATCGCCCCGTCCACCATGCAGCCTGGATCTCGCGCTTTCTTGGACTTTCATCTTTCTGGTCCACTGAAGGGCGCCAATTCGTGGATGAAAGATTTGAGTTTGAGGATGTTGAGGAAAGTTTGAGCATGATGACGAAGTTGCTGCTGAAGTGAAAACGTGGCTCCCAGAGACCGGAGCGAATTTCTACCGACAGGGAACACTAGCTCTTGTTTCAAGGTCGCGTAAAGCCATAGATGAGGACGGAGATTATGTAGAAAAATGGTGCTTGTTAAGATATGTAAGAATACCTATGCCAATTTTTTTTTTTTTAGCTTTTTCAATAAATATTTGTTGAGGAAGAAATTGTGGGGAAAAACATTTTGACTGACCCTCGCACAGTGTCAAAAAGTCCGGCCTTCCTTTTGAACACTGATAATATACGACAGACTGGATTTCAATACGGTTGGAAACATTAAGAAGACAAGAAATGTCTTAATCTAGAGACACATTTTTCGTTAATCACATTTTTTATTCCAAGCCGTGATTTAATTTCCCCCTTTTTTACGGTTAAGTCATTAGGTCTTTTAATAAATAATCTGACGTCAGCCTGACATGAATGCATTCACTCCCGAAAACTTGTTTCCTTTGTGGCATCTTGATTCCAATGTAAATAATTTTGAAGAAAACGACTTCGATGGCGACTGAACATCCGTAAGAGTGTTCAAATTTACTCTAAATTGGGTCCGAACGCTACGGGAAAGGCGACAAAATAAAAAATAAAAATTCCAAGGAGAAACCAGCGGTCACGAGTCCATCGCCATTATTTAGAGTATTTTTTTGAAGCAATGGGCGCAAAAACCAGACCTGCCCCGTTTTAGAGGTCCACAGAATAGTCGCTCCAAAGAAAATTTTTAAAGAAAAAAATACTGGCAGTTCCAGAGATTATATTTTATTTTCTTCCAGATTCCATAACCACTTCGATTGCAATGAGACATCTCCCTATCGCATAGAAAGAGAAGTATAATGCCATATGATGTCTTTTAAAACTGCCCCAGCGAAAATGCCAATCGGCCACCATGTCGCATGGGATATGCCTTCCAACGCATGCATGGGCTTCGCCAACATAATTGGAGGCAACACATGAGGCGGAGTGCTCGATTCCAAAAGTGCTACCGGCTCCAAGTAGAGACAATCAATTAGTTATGTCTCAAAGTAGATGTTTTCCTGTGTATATTGCATGGAGCGCTGTAATTAATGGAGTCATTACTGCCACGATTCTGGTTCATGCAGGCGAGATTGACATGCCTCAGTCACATCCGCCTCGTCAACGTCAATGCATCAAACATTCAGAACCTTCCTGAACCCAGCGAACGAACATTATTCGGCGTAGTCGAAGAGAATGGAAGGGCGGAGGAGGATGGCGTGGGCCGAGTCTCGACGGGGAGGTTCTGAGAAGTTCTCCGTCGGGGTGAGGATCATCTGCTACCTGACGACGTTCAGTGGAGGATTCTATTTTGCCAACATCGGTGGGAACCGACCGCTGAAGTTCCGGCTTTTGTCATGGAGGACGCTCTGGTCCCTCATCCTCATCGGGGCCTTGATATACAATCGATACCGCCAATACACAGACTCCAGTAAGTTTCACATTATGGCAAGAATTCAAGACAACGGCTGCATTTCTGCATTTAAAACAATTGCAGGAAGGAATTTAACGTTGCGGTGGAATTTTTTTCTTGTTAGAGGAATTTTTCGAGGCGGGCCTGAAAGCAAATTTTTTCTCGGAAACGGACGTGAAGGCCAATTACGTTCAACTCTTCGTGCTCTTCTTGGCGGCGCTGCTCTCGATCGTCTACTGGATCGTGCGAGGTCAGGCCCTCTGCGACCTGTTCGATGAAGCCTGGGAACTGGATCGTCAGATGGGAACGGACGAACGACGGAGGTGGCTGTGGGTCGTTGGCAGCGTCGTGTCCAGCAGCGTGTTTGCGGTGGTGGTTGCTTTCGGGAGTCCGGCCGTGAAGATTTCGGCGTGGAAGGCGCTGGATGTCTTTGCGCTGGTGGTCGTTGGGCTGAATGGGGTGACTCAGCCGTTGCTCTACGCTTGGCTTTCTTCTCAGATCGTCCGGTTTCAGCAGCATATGATGACAGAGGTACGAAAGTTTCTCGGTCCTCCACGAAAAGAGTCTTAGTACCATTCAGAACGTTGGCAGATGCGGGAGCAGAGGACAACCGGAGAGGAGTGGCAGGAAGAACGAAATCGGCTGGAATCCTTGACGAAAAAACTTAACCGGACTTACGGACCCCTGGCGATAATCCATCTTGCCCGCGATGCCGTCCTTGTTTCGATAGTCGTTTTTCTCTTCATCCGCTCCGTCGCCGCCTACGGTCTGGGCGCATTAATGATGGTCACCCTCTGCACCGCCTCGGTCTGTTTCGTGGTCCCCATCCTCATCTTTCACCTTGCTGCCGAACAGGTTACCATCCAGGTTCGAGAGCCAAACTGACTTTTACTGCCTCCAAATGAAGTAATCAAATTTTTGTATGTTTATATTTGTACGTTGGAAACATATAACACGCAGGAAGATCTGTTATGGAGAACGACGGCTGCCGCCTGCACAGCTGCGGGAGTCAAGATTTCGGTCGAGTCTCCCAATGGAACTTTATCGCACCTGGACATTCCGACCTCAAGGAAAGAGAATCGCGTAAGGTGCCTTCATTGTAGGGGTCGTTTTTCAAAATCGTCCCCAAAAGGAATGTAACATGTATCAATTTTCGAATTTTTTAACATAATGGGTCAAATTGGATCAAACACATGAGACTGTTTGTGTGCGTTTTTATGTGTGTGTCACACTTCTGAAGGCCAAATGCCCTTAAGATATGAACTTGGAGTTTTCACATAAATCTTCCTCATCATCCGAATATGTGCATTCGTGGAAGAAATTTAAAGCTAAGTCGCACGTAAAGGGGACAACTTCCACGGAAAATCTGAGTCTCGTCTCGCCATCTTCCGGACGGACGAGGAGACGAGAGTCGTCGCGGGTCTCGTGAGGCGGCGGTGGCATCGCTCCCTCCTCGATTTCAAGGACCGAAAGTTTCTGTGATGTATTACGAGTCGATTCGTGAGCTCGTGGCCTTTTCTGTTCACACGGGCTCCCCAAGGAAATCTGTAACAGCAGTTTCCTTATGCGTTTTCCATCGCTCAAAATGCAGAATTGCATGGTTGCAAAATTAAGGGCTCTTTGGTCAAAGCATGCGTCGCCTTCACTCCTTTGAAAAGCTTCACCAACAACGCGAGGAAGGCGACGATTGCGAGAGTTCCAAGCGATTGCCCCTTGTCTTGTAGAGTGGCCTTGAGGGGGAGGGGGGTGCGGTATCTCCTGATTCAATCCAGAGGACCTAAGGGGCGGAACGATCCAGGATGACAAATGTCTGTTTATATGTGTGTCTGTGTGTGCGTGTGTGACAGTTCTATAGGCCTGGCCAGATGGTGTGATGAGACTTAGAAACAGTCGTGTTCTCTCCTTCTCCGACGCAACCTACTTTTCCTTGTGCGCACCACATGGTGACATGAAGAGTAAGAGGAGTGAATAAAAATCACTCATCTTCTTGATTTCCATAGAACCGAGAAGAAGTGTGGTTTTACTCCTGGATTCGAGTAGGGAACCCTTGGGATTCCCGTGGAATTCCTTCGAGAATATTCCTTAAGGGTATCTGACATTTCTATAACATTAACCTAAGCAAGAAAAAGTCAAACTTCAATTAATATTGCACCCAAGCTCATTGTTCCCTGGGGAATATGTACATAACGCGCCTAGTTTGGAAATTATTTCCTTGACAATACTTCTTGGAACAGTCAGGAAAGACATCCCCTCTCATTGCAGCTGTTGATGGAGGCAGACGGCTGCTACAAGCTGAGGCGGATCCGCCCCACGGCCGCTGGGTTCTTCGGCTTGGGACATGGCCCCCTGGCAGAGGTGAGCGATTGCGTTCGCTTTCCTGAGTCGAATCGGCCGCATTTTTCATGAATCTTTTTGGGGCTGTCTGGACTCTTTCAGTTGACCGACGTGATTCTCACCTACCTCATCGTCCTGTTCCAATTCAGCCAAGATGACTACAAGCTTAGCGGGTGATCATGGTTCATGGATGTTCACGTTCTGGGGTACACAGCAAATCCTCGTCCATTACACGCTCGTCGTCGTGATAAAAAACTCTAGCGAATGGAGTAATTCACGGCATTGCAATACCAGACATCTGATATTGCGTGCTGGGATTTCCTTAGTATGGTATATGTAAATTAATTGTGCAAATTATACGACCTTAAACAAAGCTGGCGTAATCTGCACCTTAGAAACTGTGTTCTGTTTCGTGGAGACTGGGTCGTGTTTCCTAGAATCAGTCACCTGGAAACTGGGAAATGAGGTTTCTCATTTGCAAGATGGAAAGCCGAGTTTTTCAACAGGGCATTTTCCCTTCGTTTTACCAGACATTGTTTAAAATTCTTCACGTTTCGAATGCATGTGCTTCTGCACTGTTCCTTGTTTCAAACACCAATAAATATACCAAGGAAATAAAGGAAGGAATTGAAGAAGTTCCAAAAATTTTGTTGTTCTGCTGAATGTTGTAAGAAGATACTGAAGAAACGGTTACATTTCCGGAATGTCGTTAGAAATCGGAATTGGAATTGTCGGTATGCGATTGCAGCGTGATTTTTAAATCCACAGTTAATAATCATTGGTACGACTTGGTACCCTCATTAATCCGAAATATTTTTTGCGTTTCTCTCACGGAAGGTTTGAATGTAGTATTAATGCATGCCACATCCTGTTGGACGAAGAATAATTTCATTTGTCCTGGAAAAAATCGTGATTTGGTCTTGCTCTCTTCTCTCCCTTCTGCAAGTGTGAGTGCGATGGACTGATGAGCAATGCGAATGAAGTTATTTCACACATTTCACCCAGGAAATGTCAGTGATCTCCGTGATGTCGGGCATGCTTCGTTTCAGAGTTCTTTTTGGAATAGGTAGGGCTGTCATGCCCTTCATTCAATTGTCCGGTCGAGAAATTCACAAGAATAGACTTTCTCTCTGGTAATGAATACTCTGCTTCCTATAGCACTATAGTCTTGATTGTTCGGTGGTATTTCGGGGGTAGCGTGGGAGTCCTCCACGATTCGGGTTAGAAACTAAAACTGTGGAGTAGCATCCTGAAGGCGTCAATAAGTCTGTGTTATCGTGAGACATTCCGCTTTGTTGCCGAATTCTAAATGTAAGACCCTTAGGGGCCATATATTTGAGAGAAAAACGGAAAATTTCCGCGAACATGACGTGGAATTACCGAGAATAGGGACTAAATAAAAAAAACCTGAGGGGGGGATTAAACGGACTCCCTAAATTCCTTCTTCTGTTCCTTATTTTTCTTCAATGTACAATGGGCCATCATCCAGCTAACGCACGATGATTCTAGTGATATGGTAATGCTGGTATGATTATGTAAGTCCTTCAAACCAATGGGGGTTCCGTTGAGAACTACCATGCGATAGACGCTTCCTCAATCATTGAAAAATTCTCTCGATGAACGTGGTAGAAAAATTTCAATCCCAATAAAAACTATAAAGAAAAGATTTAATTTCAAAATGTCATGTGCCCTTAAAAGTTCCACGGAATTGGTCCAATCGTAAGAGGCCTCGACAGACAAACCCACAATAATAGAAGCAGGGATTCGACATCAAAATCTGAAATCCCTGGGAATCCACTTTTCGCTTTATCCTCCCGTTATTCCTCACGAGCATTGTACCTTGTATGCAGAATTTCCAATCTAGAATTTGATCGGGATATTTTTTTCCTGGTAAAAGAATCCCAACGAGATGGAGTCGTTGAGGGGAAGGAAAATTTTTTTCCTCACTCAAGAGTTTCGTTGCTAGAAAAAAAAAGAAAGCAATTAAAACAATGAAGCTTAGGACGGAAAAAGTACCCGTAAAAAAGTACACATTCAGATATGATCCTGAACAGTGCTTTCCTGATGTAACTATTCACAAACGTGGGACTTTCCTCAGATTCCAATAAAATTGAGACTTGAATTTTGCAACTACGCATCAACCTAATGATCGTCTTTAAGTCGTTGAAATTTCTCTTTAACTTTCCGTTAATTTTATTCGTAACTCAGCTGCCATGGCCGATGAATCCATCACAGAGAAAGGAAAAAAAGCAACAGAATGCTGTTGAACGTGAAATCTGACTATACGACAAGCGCGAACCATACACGAGACCCTTGGGAGCCTCTCTTATGTCAAGCCCTCTTGCGAATGATAAAGGCGCTTCAAGAAAGTCGTGAGAAAAGCGAAAAGGGAAAATTGTACACGAGATCGTATCGGATGAGAATACGAAATTCGGTCAATCAATATGGTATTGAGCGGAATAGAGGTTGGTCAATGTATTATGAAGGATACGGAGTTCTTAATATTTCAGGCACAAGGCTAAATGCCGATAAATATTTAGCACCTATCCAAAGAAGACGGGATTCATACGCCAATATCTCATCAATTATGTCAAGTAGGATCGTAAAATATTTACGATCTAAAAGAGCCAAAGAATCGCGAAGCATTGAACGTCAGAGAGAATGGAAGGAAGGAAGCGGATGGCATGGACCGACTCTCGACGGGGGATTTCTGAGAAATTCCCCGTCGGGATGAGGATCATCTGTTACCTGAGTATTTTGTGTGGTGGATTCAACTTTGCCAACATCAGTGGTTTCAAGCCCTTGAAATTTCGGCGTTTGTCTTGGAAGAATCTTTGGTCCCTCGTCCTCGTTGAAGCCATATCATTCAATCGATACCGGAACTTCATAATTACTAGTAAGTTCATTTGTCACTTACAAAAAAAAACTTCTCATGGCAGACTTCACGTTTAGGGGTGAATTTATTCAATAGAGGCATTCTTTGGGGCACCCGTGAACGCAAACCGTTTCTCGGAGACGGATGTGAAGGCCAACTATTTCCGATTTTTTCTGCTCTTCTCGGCTGCCCTGCTTTCCATCACTTACTGGAATGTGCGAGGTCAGGCTCTGTGTGACTTGTTCAACGAAGCCTTGGATTTGGATCGCTGGATGGGAATAGATGCCAGGAGAAGATGGTTTTGGGTGGTTGGCAGTCTGGTTTATAGCTGTGTGTGGGCGGCTGTTTCGGTGCTCGGGAATGTGATGACACCGTGGTCACCCTGGATGGCTTTTGACATATTTGTGACTTTCGTCGTTGGGTTAAATGCCGTGACGCAGTCTGTGTTGTATGCTTGGATTTGCTCTCAGATAGTTCGGTTGCAGGTATACTCGATTCGAGAGGTGAGAAATGATCTATTTTTTATGATCCACTTATTAGATCATCAAATTTTTATTATTAGATTAGGTTTTGATGATCTACTAATTAGTATTTCTTTTACCAAAGATTCCCATGTATTCGCAGCTTCGAGAGGGACGTATGAACGGAAAGGAATGGTTGGAGGGACGAAAGAGCCTGGAATCTCTGGCGAAAAAATTGAATGGAGTCTATGGACCTTTGGTGATGATTCACCTCGCCCGCAACGCGGTTCTTGCGACCTTGCTCGCGTTTCTCATCGTCCGGTCGGCCGCTGCTTTCGGTTGGGGATCCACCACCGTTGTCACTTTCAGCGTCTCTTTCACCTGCTTTTCCATTCCAGTGCTCATCTTTTTCCTTGCAGCAGAACCCGTTGGCATCCAGGTTGGAAGACCGTACAGACTATTTTATCCCGCCGTTTAATTACATTTTGATAGATGTTTTTGTATTTTCAATGTTATTCTTAAAAATGGTAATTTGGTAAAATTTCAATTTTAAATATATGAAGTTTGCCACGAGAAATGCTTGCCACTCGAAATTTCGCTATAGCGAAATTTTTACATATAATTACACATAATTACATATAATTACTAGCGAGCGTCTTTGCACTTCGGGCAAAAAACTCGCTGTTGACGCACATTCGGGCACTCAATTCCAAGGATAGTGATTCATTCAATAATTCATTTTCAAAGTGGCAAAAACGTATCAAATGTATGTGCCCGCTGGAATATGCATCGAGAGAGAACAAACCGATGATTTCATCGGAATAATAACTCCCATTGTTTCTTGTGTGCCTAACTTCAAACCTCATAATCTGCCCTGATGGGTAATATTTAAAAAGTAGGACATGTATTTAGGAATCGAACAGGTACTTCTGCTCCAAGTTTCAACTCTCTTTACTTTCTGCTTCATGGAATCAGAAAAGTTTCCGGAAAGAACCTTTTGCAAAAAAAATGCCCTCATGGGTTTTACCTAAAAATCCACATTTTACTGAAATCAGTACTCGCAGAACTGCGTGCATACCAAGTTTCAGTCTTACACGTTTGCTCCTTTTGCTGGTGCAAAAATACCTTTGGAAAAACCGACACAGCCAAAAGCTGTGCCCTGGGGGCATGCGAAATAAAACTTGAGACGGCTCCTCTTCCTTGACGCACAAAGAGAGCATAATCGCCATGTTGATTTGGAGTACACTAGTGCCACCTGCGCCATTCGCTCTAACAAAAGCGCGCATTATGAGGTTTCCTAGGTATATGCTCACATGGAGGACTTAGACGGAAATTGCTGTTACTTTTTGAAACACCCTCATTTATAGGAAAACCTGTTCTGGAAGACGACGGCTTACGCATGTGCAACAGGGGGATCCAGACCCATTTCAACGATAACCCTCGATGGAACCTTCTCGCATCAGGGCATTCAGACTTTAGGGAACGATCTTCAGGTACTCTCCCTCTCAACAACCATACACACTTTATGTCGGTCACTCCAGGGAGGATTCCCTCCGTTGCAGCTCTTGATGGACGCGGACGGCTGCTACAAGCTTCGGCGGATCCACCTCACTGTCTCTGGGTTCTTCCACTTGGGACATGGTCCATTGGCAGAGGTGAGCGATTTCTTTTAACGGTACTTTCGGCCGCAGTTCTCATGGTGTTTTTGTTGCTGTCTGGTCTCTTGCAGTTGATCGACATGATACTTACCTACGTCATCGTCCTATTCCAATTTAACCAAGTGGACCAGAAGACAAAAGCGTGATGATGTTGGCACGAGGATTGCAGTCAGGAATATGCAGGACCTTTCTACGTCATGGGCCTACAGTGAAAATGACCAAGACAACAGTTGCTGTGTTGGTTGATGTTCGTTATGCATTATTGTGTCCACCTGGATCCTCTGAAGAGGTGGACTGCAAATGAGTTTAATACTTGATTCAATACTTGATTTAAAAGGTGGGAAGTTCTTCTAAGTATGAGGCAAAGACCTGCAATGGCATCCCCAATAACTTTTAAATATGGAATGAGTGAAACACTTACGAGGGTATCGCCTCTCCCAGTGTCAGTAGTTCGGCTTAAAGATGTTGTGTAGTGATGTGAATTGGTTCCTTTGACGTAAGGCGAAGCATATCTCAGGATCTGTGAACTTTCAACTATTCAGCCTGGAAAACGCTAATGTAAAAATGCATTCAGAATTCTGAGACTAATAATCAGACTGACATGTCGTGAGCTTATATTGCCTAGATATGCATTTTTCGCCGACAATTTCACCATGTGATTCTCTTGTGCAAGTCAGATTTTACTCTTAGATCACAGCATCCATATGGGTGTTGTGATTAACATATCTCAAACATTGCCTCAGTGCTAACCCTTCAAGCCGGTCATTAAACTAGGTGGAGCATTCTCTGCGGAGGTAATACATCCATGAGATGTCACAGAAGTGCAATACCATACTGGACAGTCAATGTCATTTATTTCCGTCGGAGTAGTTACGAGTATACCTTAGCGGACGTCACAGCAACGTCGAACGCGCTTGAAGGGTTAATGTTACACCTATCATAAGAGACAAGAATTACATCAGAGTATTTCCATGATTGATTGTACTTCATCTTCATTTCGGTGTTGAAATCACTTTTCACTGCACATTTCCATAAATTTTGCTTAAAATAAATTATTTACGTAAATCATCAATAATTCAATGGTGAATAGTGTTGAACCAATGTTGAATAGACGTTGAAAACCTGTGATTCAACGGTAATTCACCGGTGAATCAACGGTAAATCAACGTGGGTTCAACGGTTAATACTGTTGAACCCCAGTTGAATATACCATGAAAACTGGTGAATCACCGTTGAATCACCGGTTTCATTTTAAACTTGGTGAACTTTTTTTCTACGGGCTGAAAGGCTACACAATAAAAAAGAATTCCTAGGAGAAACCCACGATCATTTTCATTCGCCATGATCAGTTCGAATTTTGACGCGATGCTATTGCTCCAATAGCATACCTGTCCCGTTTTTGAGGTTCACAGAAAAATCGCTCGGAAGAAAACTGAAGAAAAAAACCTCAGGTAGTTCCAGATATTATTTTTTATTTTCCTCAAGTTTCCATCAACACTTCGATTGCAATGTCAGATCCCCCTATCGCTTAGAAAGAGAAACATGATGCCATGTAAAGTCTAAAGAAACTACCCCCATCGGTCATCATGTCACATGGGATACGCTTCCAAGCCAATGGACTTCGCCAACATAACTGGAAGAAAGACGTGAGGTGGAGTACATGTTTCCAAAGCGCTACCGGCTTCAATTGGAGACAATCAATTAGTTATGGCTCGAAGTTGACGTTTTTCGGTGAATTATGCAAGGAGAGCTGTAATTATTGGAGTCGTTACTGCCAGGATTCTGATCCATGCAGGCGAGGCTGACATGCCTCTGTCACATCCGCTTCGTCAACGTCAATAAATATAACATTCAGGACCTTCCTGAACCCAGTGAACGAACATTATTCGGCGTGAGTCGGAAAGAATGGAAGGGCGGAGGAGGATGGCGTGGACCGAGTCTCGACGGGGAGGTTCCGAGAAGTTCTCCGTCGGGATGAGGATCATCTGCTACCTGACAACGTTCAGTGAAGGATTCAAATTTGCCAACATCGGTGGGAACCGACCGCTGAAGTTCCGGCTTTTGTCATGGAGGACGACTAGAGAGAAGTGGCTGGTAGAACAAAAACACCTGGAATACTTAACCGGACTTACGGACCCCTGGCGATGATCCACATCGGCTGCGATGCCATCTTTGCTTCGATCGTCGCGTTTTTCTTTGTGCGCTCCCTCGCGGTTTTTGGTCTGGGCGCATTTATGATGGTCACCCTCAGCACCGCATCGGCCTGTTTTATATTCCCCATCCTCATCTTTCACCTTGCTGCCGAACAGGTTACCATCCAGGTTCGAAAGCCAAACTGCCTTTCTTCCTCTCCTGTTGAAATAATCAAATTTTGGTAGATTTATATATGTAGATTTGAAACATATGAAAGCATGTAGGAAGACCTTTTCTGGAGGACGACGGCTGGCGCCTGCACAGCTGCGGGACTCAAGATTTCAGTCGAGTTTCTCTATGGAACTTTATCGCTCCTTGACGTGCCGACCTCAAGGAAAGAGTATGCCGTAAGGTGACATGATTTATAGGTGTCGTTTTTAAAAATCGTCCCAAAAGAATGTAACATGTAACAATTTTTGGTGGTTTAACCAATATTGTCATATTTTCAAACGCAATGGGTCATATTTGAAAATATGACCCATTGCACGGTCTTGTCCGCTAAAGAGACCAAAGGACAAATGTGTGTTTGTGTACTTTTTTGTGTGCGTTTGTGTGAGTGTGCTTCACACCTCTGAAGGCTAGACGCTTGACGATATGCTAGACGACTAGACGGCTAGACGATATGAACTAAGGGTTATAAAATAAATCAAAAGGATGTGCATTTGCGTTAGGAATTTGAAGATGAGTCTCACGAATGGGAGGCGGCTTCCACGGAAAATCGAAGTCTTGCCTCACCATCTTTCGGACGGACGAGGAGACGGGGGTCCTGGCGGAACTGATCAGGCAGCTGTGGCTTCGCTCCCGTCTCGATTTCAAGGATTGAAAGTTTCCGTGATGAAATGATGATTCTTGAGTTCGTCGCCGCTTTTGTTCGCACGGGATCCGCAAGGAAATCCGAAACCGGAGTTTCCTCGCACGTTTTCCATCGCTCAAAATGCAGAATTGCATGGTTGCAGAATTACGGGCTCTTTCGTCACAGCATGCGTCGCCTTCACTCCTTTGAAAAGCTTCACAAACAACGCGAGGAAGGCGACGATTGCGTCTGGTGCTTCTGTCGAAAGAGAGAACCCTAGCACGTGACATCAGGTGTCTGGAATTGCAATAGAGTGAGTTATGAGATTCGCTGGGCTCAGTGATCATGACGAAGGGCTCAGGTGCAGAGGACGAGGATTTGCCGTGCGAGCTGGAACAAGAATGGTGAAGAGACCACGGGTCGTGATCACGCTTTCAGATTCAAGTCATCTTGGTTGAATTGGAACAGGATGACGATGTAGGTGAGAATCGCGTCCGCCAACTGAAAGTGTCCGATCGGTGGCAAAAAGTTCCATAAAGAATGCGGTCAATCTGATGGAGGAAAGTGAATGTGCCATGGGGCCATGTCCCAAGTGGAAAAACCCAGCGGCCGTCGGGCGGATCCGCCTCAGCTTGTAGCATCCGTCTGCCTTCATTGTGAACTGCAACAAGTCGAGGCAAAATGCTATTCCTGAATGGTGTCGTTCGGTTATTACATTCTTTGTTCCCTTGAACTATGGTGAACTTGATGCAAATATACTGATTGAGACTCCATATCACCCCTCATAGGCACAATTTCGCAAATTTTGTGCCTCGACTAATTTATATTGTTTTGTATGGTAATCCACCATGCCTATTCTGGCCTCCTTGATTCTGGCAATTAATCTTAGTAGTGCTTGGGTCCTATTATAGGCTGACAATTGGTGCTTTCTTCAATTTTTTTTACCTGGCTTCGCATATTTGGGTGTGTGGTGCAAGGGACGGGCATGACCTCGAGGAAGTCTTGTTATTTCACGAAATGTGTGAAATTTCCTTTCAAGTAAGAGGAATTAAAATCACATTCTACTATTTCAGAATTGTTGCAATTGAAAACAAATGTTCAAGGACGGATAGTAAAAGGAAGAGGTGAGGGTAGTTTTTGGCATAGAGAAATATCCAATAGCGCAGCTTCATTTATAATGCATTTTCCTAATAAATAAAAAGAAGCTGCATTCTCGGATAGTGTTTGGTTCGAAATTCCACATTAAAGGTCTTTCCTTCCCATTTTCCGAATTTTTCCGTTTACAATTGTCGCCACCGTATGGATATTTATAATTAGAAATGTAGATTCATTGTCATATTCTTGGGAAAGATGCATATACCAGCATATCCAAAAAATATATTTTTAGAAGGCGCCAAAACATTCGTGGAACAAAGGCAAAATATAAATACAAGCTAAACGAAAAAAATTATTCTACGCAAATTTTCTGTGCAACACCGGCAACGGGCGCTGGTGTTGCACTAAAAGTATCATCCACCATCGGCCTATGGCAACGATGCCGGTGCCGGTGCCCAAAAGACCGGCAAAGCGAAAAAAAAATAAGTGGAGCTTTGAACGCGCCTCGGCGAAAGCCCTTCTATCTCATTGAATGCCACTCCTGCAAGCCTGTTCCAGGCAAAAATATCGATTGGATTATGTTAAAGCCTTATTATAGGAACAGGCGGAGGAAAGTTGTGGTAAAGAACCGGAAATCATTCCATCTCCATGTACGTTATGCTTTTACAAGGGATGCGCCACTAAATGTTCTTAACTGCAGCAATAGGCAGCAAGCTAACCACAGACAGAAGCATTGAGAGAAAGACAGGCTGGACAGGACCAAAAATGATCTCTATCGTTTGACGGAGCACCCCTGATAAGTATCACATGGCTATTCGGCCTATTTGAATTTATAGGCGATTTCTTCTACAGGCTACAATTGCACCGGCACCGGCCGATGGTTATGAGGAAAAAATCGTCCATCGGCCTACCGGCCAAATGTTGCAACCTGCACAGCCCTAGACAATACGATTACCTATTCGCGAATGCTTCTAATTGAAAAGTACCCTCGCATACCGATACAAATGAAGGAATCTAATCGCATGATATTTTACTTCTCTGCTACTTTCCTGAAAATGTTCACAACTTTCCCCCTAACACCCCTAAGTCAACTCACGCCATTCTCCTTCCTTGAGGTCGGAATGTCCAGGTGCAATGAAGTTTTAGAGGGAGACTCGACTGGAAGCAAAGCGGATCCCGTACACGCGGCTGCTGTCGTCCTCCAGAACAGGTCTTCCTGCATATGACACGTTCAAAAAATATGAAACATATATACAGGGTGTTCGTATTTAAAAGCAGCATAGGGAAATTTTTCCCGCCTGTAGATGCTAAACGGCCCACCGGGTTGCATATCTGGAAGGATGAAACCTATCGCTGGTGTGTTTCCTTGCAGATAGGCAACCCAGTGAGCCGTAGAGCGTTCACCGACCTCCACCTACAGTCGGCAAAATTTTCACTATGTTGCGTTTAAATATGAACACCCTGTATAGCAAAAGCGACTGAGGCAGAATATGGGCTTAACCCGGTCTCTCAACCTGGATGATAATCGGTTCGGCCGCAAGGTGAAATATGAGGATGGGGATCGCAGCAAAAGTGAAGGTGACGGTGTAGGCGACCATCATGAATGCAACCAAGCCAAAGGCTGCGATGGACCGCACAATGAAAAACATTGCGACTGTAGCTATGACCGCGTTGCGGGCGAGGTGGATAATTACTAGACGTCCATAAATCTGATCCAATTTCTTTGCCAAGGATTCCAGGCGTTTTCGCCCCTCCAACCACTCCTCCCCACTCGCCCTCTTTTCCTGCATCTGTCAGCAATCATAGTACTATGTGTTTTTGATTTTCTTCCTCATCGGGAAAGATCCACGATCCTACCTCTCGAATCATGTGCTACTGAATCAGGACGATCTGGGAAGAAATTCAAGCATACAGCAATGGCTGAGTAGTGGCAATGAATCCGACGACAGCCATCGCGAACAACTCCGGGACGGTCCAAGGCGACGGCGGCCTGACGGGGTTCCCAAAAACCGCCACCACCGTCCATAAACAACAACAAGCGACAATGCCAGCCACCCAGAACCACCGTCGTCGTTCATCCATACCCATCCGGCGATCCAAGTCCGAGGCTTCGTTGAACAGGTCGCAGAGAGCCTGGTCTCGCGCGATCCAATAGATGCATGACAGCAGGGCCCCCGAGAATAGTTAAACGTAATTGGCTCTATCGTCGGTTTCCGAGGTCCCTAGATAAACGCCTCTAGTAAAGAAATTCGACCACAACTGTAACATACTTTCCACAAAATACTTCAATACATAAACGCAGCCGTCGCAGTGAATCCCCTCTAAGGCAATTTTTGTACGATGAAAGTATGAACTCACTCCCAGCCTGGGAACTGGTTGATTCGCTGGGAAATCAACATCCCGAAAAGGAAGTGGAACCAGAATTTCCTCCAAAGACGAAAGCCGGAATTTCAACGGTTTGACACCTCCGATGTTGGCAAAAGTTGAATCCTCCACTGAATATCGCGAGTACCCAACAAAGCTTTCAACATGCATAGGGTCGCGATCATGTGAAACGGCTGGAATGACGTTGAATAACCGACGCAACTCGAGTAGGGTAAAGGTTCGCCGCGTACACGCGCCATGCAGCGTTAACAGCCTGGTGTTTCTCTGCAATTAATGCACTTCTCCTCTCGTCATTGATATCTTCAATTTGCTCATTGGTCAGTGCAGACATTCGCAGTCTCGCCGTTTCTTTTAGGCGGGCGCATCAAATCACATATTGTTAAGCTGTTTAGCACTCTCCAACCAACATAGGTCCTGCAAAGGCACAGGCTTGTAGGCAAAATCAATCGGATGGAGGAATCACGAAACGCGCCTTGCCAATAACATGGAAAGGAAAAGGCTCGTAGGCCTATCGGCTACCAAGCCTATGTCCTTGAAGGGGCAAAAGCTTTATAGGCCAGAGGCTACATCTACCATGAATCTCCTTAGCGTTTTCTAATATAGTATGGAAATTTTTTTCCTGGCGAAAGAATCCCAACGAGATGAGTTGTTGAGGGGAGGGAAAATGTTTTCCTCACTCAGGAGCTTCTTTGCTCCATATGAAAGAAAGCGATTAAAACAATGAGTCTTAAGACGGAAAAAGCATCCTTAAAATGGACACATTCGGATGTTATTCTAAAGGGTGCTTTCCTGATGTTGCCATTCACTAACGTGGGACTTCCCCGGTCCAACACTTTCCTCAGATTCCAAAAACAAAGCGACATGAATTTTACAACTACGTATCAAATCTGATTCTCCCCTTCCCGTTTTCGAAATTTCTCATTTATTTTAAATTAAATTCATTCAAAAATCAGCCGCCATGGCCGATCACACAGAAATAAAAAAAAGCAAGAGAATGATACTTCATATGAGATCTGACCACACGACAAGCGCGAACTATACTCGAGCCCCATGAGAGCTTCTCTTGTGTCAAGCCCTCATGCCTCAAGCCTCAAGCCCTTTGAACCGAATTCTAGGAACTTCAGAGTGCATGACTGCCCAATTGCTTGGAACGATCTCTTAACGACTCCTCAATCCTTTCATACGAGCTGCGCCGTCATCTTTGCTGTTCGGCAGCTCCAAAGAGACTGATCGATTGATGCGATGAGGCGCTGTAAAGTGGGAGGGAGACATCTATCCTCCGGAATCGACACTAATAGTTGGAATTTCTCTGCCATCGTATTAGAAGCTCCATTGAGTTACGAGGCGCAATTTTAAAGGTGGTACGAATTCATTTGAAAAACACCATGTAAACACGGTATGTAAGCATTGAATTGAAGAGATGATGATCTCTTATTAAATGTTGTCATGCTATGCTATGCTGTGAGGTGCTATGCATATAAGCATAGCCTGATGTGAATATAGATTTATTCTATATATGGGTCTGTCCACGGTGTCGGATGTGACATCCAGAGTAATGTTTTTAGTGTACAAAATGCATTTAACTATATTATGGCTGACAGATGAGCATATAAAATTTGTAACAATTTGCTTCGGGTGGTGACTGAAAATTCCATAATCCAAAGTCTTGCACTCTCTCTTATGTTAGAGGTGTACCTATGTGCAAAGAAAAGTGTCGGACGTGACATTTCGTGAATCTGAAGTTTACGTCACTTTCACTAATGTTCACATCGAGCGGATCCTAATAATTTAGTTTCATGTTTCATGTTCATTCTATAGATGGAATGAACGCCTGGAATTAATGTAAGTCACCCCGAGATGAGAACAATTGAAACAGAAAATAAGCCTATTTTGTGACGGTGTCGGATGTGACAGGAAAGTGTCGGATGTGACATGTTCCGAAAATGTATTTTGAAACGAGAAGTCTGAACATATATATATATATATATTTTATTTTAAGTATATCATTCAAATGTGAACAATTGAAGTCTACTCTTCACACCTGAGCTGATTTGAAATTATCAGTATGCATGGAAAGCCCATGCTGGCATCTCTTCCACGAACCTAATTCAGTCTCGCCAGAAGTGCATTTTCATCACATTTTTCAGTATCATGAGAGTGGTATGTGGTAATATATCATAATTATGTATAATTCTTTCATTTTCAATGTAATATTCTCTTACACTCATGTCATTTAGGAAAAGAGATTATGAACTTCTGAAACAAAAGTGAAATTTTCATATTTAGGTAAATTTCCGGCTAAAATTCTAGGACCACTTGGCGTGGACAGGCCCATATGCTTAAAAATAGTAAAAAATATATACAGGTAAGTATGGCATCAGTGCATGAGAGGTTAGAATCCCATATTTGGTGAATGATGTACATTTAAAAAAATGTTTTATGCACGCAGATTCGCATCGATTCAAGATTCCTGAGTGAAATCTGTCGCTTGGGATCCTCCGACCTCAAAAATGTACCTATCTCGTATATTGGTAACGTGCTGAGGAGTAAAATAATTCTCGCCGACGGCATCCTCCATGACAGAGACACGTGGGCAAAGAGAGGGGAATACGAATTTCCTTCTGAAGTACTTGATTCTCTGAAAGAGATGGTGCCGAAGTTTTCCTGCTGGAGTCTCCTTCATGTTCACCAGGTGGAGCTTGGGATCTCGATTTCGCCAACGATGAATAAAGGGCACTGGAGCAAAAATGAGATGATCCGAAGAAATGTCTTCCAATATAGGAACACAAGCGGGAAGAAATGAGGCGGAGTAACTGTCACAAGCGCTATTTCATTCAAGTGGAGAGAAAATCAACTAGTAATGACTTGAAGTCGACGCTGCTCGCTGAATTATTTGAGGACTACTGTAATTACTGGCGGCTTTAATGCAGTCGTTACTGTCAAGATTATGGTCGTAGCAGGCAAAGCTGACGTATATTTGACGCATCCACCTCGTCAATGTCAAAAATTTAGTCATTGAGGCAGAATAATACCCATCGAGCAAAGATTATTTTGCGCCAGTCGAAGGGAATGGAAGGGCCGAGGAGGATGGCATGGGCCGAGTCTCGACGGGGAGGTTCCGAGAAGTTCTCTGTCGGGATGAGGATCACCTGCTACCTTGCGACATTCAGTGGTGGATTCATCTTTGCCAACATCAATTGACCATTAATCCAACAATTGACGCTCAAGCAACATTTCCTTCATTGCTACCTGGTACGGAGGTTTTCGAGTGTCCTATCCGAGTCCAAGGGAAGTTTCGGCAATATTTTGGTGGCGAGCATCGTGTCAAATGTATTGATATGGGCGGGGGTCATTTTGAGGCACTTTTAAACTTCAGAAAAACCTCCATTTTTGACAAATATATTTCCAAATGATATGCTATCGTTAAGTTAATGTTACTTCTGTTTTTTTTTTGCCAACTGTTTTGCAGATATGAATTTTTGAAATGGTATAGTGACTTATGGGACCCCTGTATATTGCAGGTCTGCGAAGCATACAGTGTTATTCAGATGGCATGGGCATCGTTATTGTCATGCCGAACTTGAAGTTCGGTATTTCTAGAATAAATTGATTCTGACTCTCAGCATGAGGCAGTCCATCAAATTTTGTAAGGAAACAGCTGCATTATTGAGGTTGGTCTGTGTTTTGCTTTACGAAATGTTGATTAGGAGACCAAAAATTTAAAAGATACATCAAACATAAGTGAACTAAATTATTGCACCACAAATGTTCAAATTAAATTTCCTGTGAACCGTTTGCTAAGAAAATCTAAGCAATCTAAGCATCCAACCGAAAAATAATGCATGGCGAACATCAACCAACACAGCAACTGTTGTCTTGGTCATTTTCACTGTAGGCCCATGACGTAGAACGGTCCTGCATATTCCTGACTGCAATCCTCGTGCCAGCATCATCACATTCTTGCCTTCTGGTCCATTTGGTTAAATTGGAATAGGACGATGATGTAGGTAAGAATCATGTCGGCCAACTGAAAGAGACCAGACAGCACCAAAAGCACCATGAGAACAGCGGCCAACAATTCTCGTTAAAAGAAATCGCTTACCTCTGCCAGGGGGCCATGTCCCAAGTGGAAGAACCCAGAGACAGTGAGGTGGATCCGCCGAAGCTTGTAGCAGCCGTCTGCGTCCATCAAGAGCTGTAATGAATCGACAGGGGGAATTCTTCCGGAGTAACCGACGTAAAGTGTGTATGGTTGTGGAGAAGAACGGTACCTGAAGATCGTTCCTTGTAGTTAGAATGTTCTGATGCGAGAAGGTTCTATCGAGGATTATTATCGTTGAAATGGACCCGGATCCCTCTGTTGCACACGCGTAAGCCGTCGTCTTCCAGAACAGGTTTTCCTGCGCATGAATGTATACGAGGGCGTTTAAAAAATTAAGGCAATTTCTGCCTAAGCCGTCCATGTGAGCCTTCACTTAGGAAACCGCATAATGAGCGCTAAGGCAGATCAATGTCCCTCAGAATGCGCGCTTTTCTTAGAGCGAATGTAGGTGATGGCACTAGTGAACAGAAAAATCAAAATGGTGATTATGCTCTCTGTGTGCATCAAGGAACAGAAGCCGTCTGTTTCCATTTTCTACTGGTAAAATGTGTTAAACCAGCGGATGTTCAGAAACCAATGTTGGCTCAATATGTTGAGTAGCTTATGACAACGAGAAGTTTATGAGTGGAGAGAAAGGTTCCGAAGAAAAAATAAGAAAGGTTTGTTGTGCTCGAGCGTCTTGATCGACTGTCAGCAACGACATTTATTCGTTCATTTCGAATATACAGGGTGTCCATAAAAAGAACTTAAATTTTTTAAGTTCAATTTCTCCGGAACTTAAAGCATAGGACAGTGAAATTTTATGGGATGCTCATGGGGTCATGGGAATTAAATTGAGACTGTTTTGCAAACAAATTAAAAAAATTTTTTTTTCGTATTTGCACTCTTGGCGGTATTGAACCACTACTGAGAGTATTGTAATTTTCGGTCATAGAAAAGTAGTGACTTTGACTAAGAAAAATAGAGGCGAACTAATAACGCTTCTCTACACCAACATGGATAAGGCTGTTATTGCATTACGAGAACACTGCACAGGAAACAACATGCATTTGAGGCCCTGCTCGAGACAAGCTCAGATGAATTTGGTCGACAAGTTCGAGATTGGTTGTGTTTGCAACAAGCCGCATGGAGGCAAGCCGTCAACTCCTGTAGACTCCTTGGAATCCTACCAACAGCGATTGGTGCAAAAACGGCGATCGATACAGGTAGTTTCCGAAACGTCGGTAAAGCCCAAGTTATTACATATATTTACAGTATATATGTATGTATTGATATATATGCATACATTACATATATTGGAAAACTCCACCCCAAGCTTGGATGGAACTCATACACTTGCAAGCAACTTTCAAAATGTGAAAAGCATATGAGGGGCGTTCCAAAAGTTTCTACCCTGAGGTAGAAGGGAATATGACAGACTGTTTAAACAAATTTTATTTTCCTGCATTACCTCCCTGGACATGAATGTTAGTCCGATTGTTGGAACAGTGCTTCAAATTTATTGGGAAATTTTCATTTTCCACCATCAACTAAAAATGCTGAAATGGCTTCTCCGAGGAGACACCATTGTCATTTTCACCTTCATGGACGCTACACAGGAAAAGGACTCTTTTCCTTTAAATGTTTATTATTGAATGAGCTGTTTTATCGGGATGAATACAAGTATATCATATGAATGGCTTAAATACTAAATACAAATAAAACATTGCTCTGTATTCAAAATGCTGCCATTTGAAATTGATATTTTCACTGACTGGAACGTGTTTTAATGCAAAATATTATTTAAAATATACATTGACCTAAACCGATTGCTGTCCCTCAAAATTACCGAAAAGGATAAATAAATATGGGAACCAAATTTCAGCTTTCTCCAGGTCATTTATCAGAGCAGAAACTTTTGGATCGCCCCTGGTACACTTAACGGCATTCTGTCAAGTTTTCAAGATGATGCGTTCACAAGAGCAAGTTTTTCCGGATGAATATCTAATTTGGATTCATGCCTCACATTCATTCCAAATTTTGACAATTTTGACAAATTCTGCGATAACTCAAGAATGGGAAGTCGCGGGCGAATGAAATTTTACGAGCGCTCCAAGAACATTCACCAGCAACGGTCTGTTAAATTAAAATTAATCCATCTTGAAAATATTCATTTCTTTGAGTGGATGGAAAATTTCGAGTGGATGACTTATGTTCTTGCAAATTTGATTTATTTAAGATTGAAATATTACCAATTCTCAGATAAATATAGTGATTAAATACAAACATATTTAGAAAAAAGTAATTAAACGGCGAAGGATAAAAGTGTGTAAAGTCTTCCAACCTGGATGCCGACTGGTTCTGCTGCAAGGAAAAAGATGAGCACCGGAATGGAAAAGCAGGTGAAAGATACGCAGAAAGTGACAACGGTGGTGGATCCCCAACCGAAAGCAGCGGCCGACCGGACGATGAGAAACGCGAGCAAGGTCGCAAGAACCGCGTTGCGGGCGAGGTGAATCATCACCAAAGGTCCATAGACTCCATTCAATTTTTTTGCCAGAGATTCCAGCCTCTTTCGTCCCTCCAACCATTCCTTTCCGTTCATACGTCCCTCTCGAAGCTGCGAATACAAAGAAATCTTTCGAAAAAGAAATACTTATTAGCAGATCTTCAAAACCATCTCACCTGTCGAATCCAGTATTGCTGAAACCGGACTATCTGAGAGCAAATCCAAGTATACAGCAAAGACTGCGTCACGGCATTTAACCCAGCAACCAAAGTCACAAATATGTCAAAAGCCATCCAGGGAGACCATGGAGTCATCACATTCCCGAGCACCGACACAGCCGCCCACACACAGCTATATACCAGACTGCCCACCACCCACAACCATCTTCTCCTGGCATCTATTCCCATCCAGCGATCCATATCCAAGGCTTCGTTGAACAAGTCACACAGAGCCTGACCTCGCACATTCCAGTAAATGATGGAAAGCAGGGCAGCCGAGAAAAGCAGAAAAAAATCGGAAATAGTTGGCCTTTACATCTGTCTCCGAGAAACGGTTTGCGTTCACGGGTGCCTCAAAGAATGCCTCTAAGGGATTAACCCCTAACTATGAAGTCCGTCCCAATAAGTTTTTTTTGTAAGTGAACTTACTGGTAATTAAGAAGTTCCGGTATCGATTGAATAAGATGGCTCCAACGAGGACGAGGGACCAAAGATTCTTCCAAGACAAACGCCGAAATTTCAAGGGCTTGAAACCACTGATGTTGGCAAAGTTGAATCCACCACTGAATGTCGCAAGGTAGCAGATGATCATCATCCCGACGGAGAACTTCTCGGAACCTCCCCGTCGAGACTCGGCCCATGCCATCCTCCTCGGCCCTTCCATTCCCTTCGACTGGCGTAAAATAATCTTTGCTCAATGGGTATTATTCTGCCTCAATGACTAAATTTTTGACATTGACGAGGTGGATGCGTCAGAATTACGTCAGCTTTGCCTGCTACGACCAGAATCTTGACAGTAATGACTGCATTAAATCCGCCAGTAATTACAGTAGTCCTCAAATAATTCAGCGAGCAGCGTCGACTTCGAGTCATTCCTAGTTGGTTTTCTCTCTACTTGAATGAAATAGCGGTTTTTGACACAGTTACTCCGCCTCATTTCTTCCCGCTTGTGCTCCTATATTGGATAACATTCCTTCGGGTCATTCATTATTGCTCGAGTGCCCTTTATTCATCGTTGGCGAAATCGAGATCCCAAGCTCCACCTGGTGAACATGGAGGATGAAGCGAATAGTGGATTCCCGAAGATATAAGATTTTGATGTTGAATGCGTGCTTCTATTATTGTGGGTGTGTTCGTTGTGGCTTCTTACGAGAAGATCTTTTCTGTCGTCTTGAAAGGCCACATTACATTTTAATATCTATTTAATATATATAGTTTTTAATACATTAGTATTGATATTTTGTAACTAGTTCCGTGAAAGAACTTTTCCATGCTTGTCGAAGCCTGTATCGCATGGGAGGCCTCATGGCCCCTTTGGTTTGAAGGCCCTACATATTTATTTTAGGTTGCCCGAAAAGTTCTTGCTGTTTCAGAAAATATTTGAGAAAACATTTTTATTAAACAACTATACAATATCAGACAACAATGTAAGCACCATTGTGTTCCACTAAATGTCTCCACCTTCCAGCCAGGGAATGAATTTCGTCGTGGTAGAACGATGGGGGCTAATACTCAAAGAACTGTCGCAAGTAGCATTCGAGGTCTTTCGTGTCGAACTTTTTCTCTTAGGAGTCCGACGGAACAAGGTCTGGGGTGTACGGGAGAAACTCCATTGTCTTCGGATTGAATTCCTAACCCGTTGAAATCGTTACGGTGCGTTGTCAGGAAATTGATGTTCCTCATCTCAACGGGAGATTTCCCTGAACTTCCTCACAAAGATTCTGCCCTGACCGTAAAAATTTACGCAAAAATTTACGTAAGGAAGAAGGATTCTTCCTTACGTAAATTTTACGTAAACGTGATGTCATTTTCATGGCAGTCGCAAAAAATTTACATTGCTTGCCAAAAATTGATATCTAGTTTGCGTAAACATGCTGCTTGGGATTTGTCATGTCTCTGAATGAGACCTCTATCTCAGTTACTTGAACAAAAGGTTTCCCACAGTTGATGCGAGATGGCGACTACCCAAGCAGCATGTTTACGGAAACAATATATAACATTTTTGCAAACAAAGTAAATTTGAACGCTAACGGTACTTTTACTGTAGTGCAAATGCATTTTAAATGCAAGGATATAAATGCAGTCCAATGCGGATTTGGCGAAGGCCTGCTTCTGAGTATAATTACCTTGTCATTAAATCAGGAATATTCTCAATGCACTATTTGCATAAAACACTGAACTGCGTGGATTCAAGGGATCCCACATTCATTTGCATCACGTTTTTTCTACGACATCCGGCATTGAGAACGAGTCCTCCATTTCATGTCTCCATTTCATGTCTCCATTTCATGTCTCCATTTCATGTCTCCATTTCATGTCTCCATTTCATGTCTCCATTTCATGTCTCCATTTCATGTCTCCATTTCATGTCTCCATTTCATGTCTTTCTTTGAGATCGGGAGATTCCCCATGACAACTGATTTACTGAGGAAATTTCTAAGAAATTTAATGAGCTAAATCAGCTTACTACAAGATGATTTGTCTCAGGCTTGATCCATATTTTATTCCTATGGAAATTGCAGTTTAAGAACTAGCAGGACAAGTGAAAATTCACGCTTTTCCAGATGACGTCTTCAAAACAAGCCTTTAAAGTTATTTATGTCCCCAGAGATTAATAGAGAAATGCATTTTGTCATTTTGGCACGAGGATTACAGTCAGTAATATGCGGGACCTTTCACGTCATGGGCCTACAGTGAAAGTGACCAAGACCACAGTTACTGTGTTGGTTGATGTCCGCCATGCATTTTTTTTCCTACCTGGATCATCTGATGAGGTGGACCAATGAAGGCTATTGGGAAGGAAATTCGTCAATTCGTCAGCAGCATGGTAACTCATTGTAAATAGATTAAATTGCTTAATTAAATTGCTTAAATTGCTAATTGCACACGGTTCACAGGAAATTTAATTTGAAAATTTGCGGTGCGATAATTTAGTTCACTTATGTGTGATACGCCAAATTTTTGGTCTCTTAATCAAAATATCGTAAAGCAAAACACAGACCAACCTCAATAATGCAGCTGTTTCCGTGCAAAACTTGATGGGGTGCCTCATGGTCAGAATCGATTTATTCTAGAAATACCGAACTTCAAGTTTCGGCATGAAAATAATGATGCCGATGCCATCCGAACTACACTGTATGCTTCGCAGACCTGCAATTTAGAATGGAAAATGAGGACGATACCAGCCAATTTCCAATACCGGAAATTAATACTAATAATAATTTGTTTCTCAGGTCTGTCTGGAATAACTGGGGAAAACATGAAGTTTGGGAATTTTTGTAAAAGAGGATTCAAGAATGTGCACCATTAATAGCCCTAAAAACGTTCACCTTTCTGACATGCTCTTGAAGGAATTTCCCTTTGAGTCTGATTTCAAGTCATTATTTAAAAAAATATTCTAAAGGACGTTCTTTCCACCGAAACTAAGAAAATTGACCTGGCTGTTGTAGTTTGGAAAATATTGCAGTTTGAAATGGTATAGTGGCTTATGGGACACCCTGCATGATGGAAAGTGAAGACGATACCGGCCAGCAGGCGGCGCCACTGCAGCGGTATATAGCAACAGATCGCCATTGCCACCTAGAGCAAATGTCCCCTCATGGCCACTTGCGATCATGCTCGTCCGCACAGTGTCATTGGCACAAACTGAAATAATGTTGATGCACTAAAACATGTACCTGACGGTACCGCACAGCATATTGATCCCATATTCCCTGTGAAATACCGCATGAAACAGGTAAAAATTACTCCCAGTAAACAGGACTTAGAGGCGGCAGTCAGAGCGAACGGAAGGAATTTCTCCAGTCAGACTCCAGACTCGTTTGACGAGTTGTCTTTCCCATTCCCCCAGATTTCGAAGCATTTCTTGCTGTCAACCGCTCCATCGATGAACTGCTGCTGGCCGACCCCATTTTTTTGGCTCGTGCATCCCTACACTACCAAACCGTCAGGGAATTAAACCTTCGGGATGAAAAGCCTCGTCCATAAGATAACTCTCCTGTGGTGATCCCCGAGGCAGATGATAAACGTGGAATCGTCGCTCCATACCACTGATAGCAAACTGCCGAATGATGGGGATGGGCTGCTCATCTTACAAAAGTACAGCCAGTGTTAACGTCAAACCTGAAAAATAAGCGATTCGAATGGGCCAAAGAGTTCAAGAAATGCCCATTGGCAGTTTGCTATCAAGTGGTATGGAGCGACGATGTACCACTGTCGTGCAGTGGTCTACACTCTTAGAAAAAGGGGAGCGATTTTTCTAAAAAAAATAGAGTAAAATAGCTAACTCCAGTTTCACCCCCCTTTCACTTTGGGAAAGGAGCGAATTTACTCCATCACCAAGGAGTAAAATTGCTCTCCTCCACCATGAGTAAAAACGCTCCCATCAGAAAGTGATAGGGATGTCATGCAAATACGAAAATTCTCCTATAAACTGTGTGTCGCTTTGGCACTCGTACAGGCGTTGACTTGCCTCTGACAGTACTGATTACAGCCCACTTCCGAGGGTGGATCACCTCTTATAGGTTCCGTGGAGTGTCCAGGATATCAGTCTCTTATTACCTCTTTTAATTGAGGTATAAATTAATGCACTTCACGGGCACCCTCTGATTATTCAAGATCTCTGCGGAGACAATCATACGCGTTCCAAAAGGTTTCTCAATCGGAATATGAGCTTGTTTATGGCCTGGACTCTATGAATATGTCTTGAAGATGTGGATAACAAATAATGAAGTGTCCGTTTTTATTGATTCCTATAATGAGACTAGGCGAGACATATGTTACTCCTTGGTGATGGAGTAAATTCGCTCCTTTCCCAAAGTGAAAGGGGGGTGAAACTGGAGTTAGCTATTTTACTCTTTTTTTTTTAGAAAAATCGCTCCCCTTTTTCTAAGAAGTGTATGACAAAGGCCATGGAGATGCTCCTCAACGGTGTATGAAAAAAAGAGAGAATAAGTTCCACTCACTTCAAATGTAAACAAAGTACAGCAGACGTTCTTTCTTTGAAAGCGCCACGAATCGAATGGAAGTGAAAGCAAAATGGAACCAATGCAGAATGATGTGCTCACTTATGATCATAAGTAAATGCCACGTGTTTTTCAGCCAAGAATTGGTCATGCAGAGCATGATTTGCATGCTCCAATACTACGTCACTGATGTGGAAACAGAGTCTTTTAGTTGCAATTTGTCGCTTTCATTGGATCTGGAGCTTTTCTTTTGCGGTCATGGACACTGGGTTACCTGCAGCGAAGTGCTCAATTGAGTACAATTGCAGGCATCAGTGAAGGTCACGGGCGCGAGAATGAGATGAACTGATAGAACCCCTCGCGATATCAGAACGCCAGCAGGAAGAAATGAGGCGATGTACCTGTGTATAAAGCGCTGTTGCATTAAAGTGGAGCAAATCAATCAGGAATCGACTCGAAGTCGACGCTACTCACTGAATTACTCAAGGATTGCAGTAATTACTGGCGGCTTTACTGCAGTAATTAGTGTCAAGATTCTGGTCGTCCCATGCAAAGCTGACATGATTATGACGCAACCACCTCGTCAACGTAAAAAATTTAGACATTGAGGTCGAATAATACCCAGCGAACGAGGATTGTTTTGCGCCAGTCGAAGGGAATGGAAGGGCCGAGGAGGATAGCATGGGCCGAGTCTCGACGG